TTGGTGTCAATGAGGAGGCCTTGGAAATCTATGGTGCCTCGGATAATAGATCAGTATTTATCCCTGGCTTAAAATGGACTTTGGGTGTCCATTCCACATGGAGGCATGTTCTCTCAGCCTGGACATATGGGGGGGTGGCCTAAGCCTTGCCCTTGATGATGTGACAGACTTTGGTGAATCCCCCATGGAGGGCCTCATCTGCCCTAGGGAGCAGAGCTGGGATAGGCTGGGGGTTGGGTGGTGGGTTGGGACGGCTGTTGGGGGTGGGGGGAGGAGGGGAGGGAGAGGGATCTGGGATTGACAGGTGAAGTAAGCTTGTTTATTTTTTTTTACAGTTTTTTATTATATATTTAAATTAGAACCAAGCTTGCTTCCCATGTCAGTCCCAGCTCCCTCTCTCTCCCCTCCACACCCACTCCCCCCAGCCCTCCCAGCCCCCCACCCAATCCCCACTCCATTCCCCAAGGAGGGTGAGGCCCTCCATGGGGGATCTCTAGAGTCTGTTATTTTGTTCCAAGGAGGGCCCAGGCCCTCCCCCAAGTGTCCAGATTGAGAGAACAACCCTCATTGTGGGATGGGCACCCAAAGCTCATTTGCATGTCAGGGATAAATACTGATATACTACCCAAAGCCCCATAGATTGCCTGGATCTCCTCACTGACACCCACATTCAGGGGGTCTTGATCAGTCCCATGCTGGCCTCTCAGCCATCAGTCTGGGGTCCAAGAGCTCCCCCTTGTTCAGGTCAGCCATTTCTCTGGGTTTCACCAGCCAAGTCTTGACCCCTTTGCTCATCACTCCTCCCTCTTTGTCACTGGGTTCCAGGAGTTGTAAGCTTGTTTATAACTTAAATAAAAAGATTTAAAAAGAAGAAGAAGTTTGTGAACCTATTTACAAAGCACATTCATGTATCTCCAGTCACAAACCCATGTTGAAACCACGTCTCCAGTGAGTGGTTAGTCACATGTATATAAAATTGAAACTGGACCTAGTATATAAGCATATTGTTTATTTTCTTTCCATTCCTCTTACATATCACAGGAGAAGGACCACTTATACTGAATGGTTAAGACATCTCTTCTTCTTTTTATAATGACAAAATCCCATTCCTGTCACATTAAGACTCGACTTTGCTATGACTGTAGGGAAATGAGATTTCATGTACACTTTATGGTGTACAGTTCAGCCAGGGAGGCCCATTCATCAACTCATTAACGTACTGTCACAACTGGAGGACCACGAAGGGCAAGCAGATCCTGTGTGTATCATGTGGTTTGCTGGCATATGCTCTGCATACCTACCATTTCTAGAGAGAGAGAAGATGAAGCTATCTTGTTGATGAGAGAGAAATGGGAGGCACCAACAAAATAGTATGGGACAAAGAAAGTTCTCTTGTAATTACAAGGGACACTTTCTTAAAGGGCCAGTAGACATCTCTGAAAGCATGGCCAAGAAAGGAGACTTAGAACATATCTCTCAAAAGGTATTGTTTGGCTCAGGATACAGACTGCTCTCATGCAACTTTTGAAAACATTAATGTTTTTAAACATGAGAAGTCTCCTTTGAAAACATCAGTTACTTATTGTTTTTAATTCCTTAATGGACAAGACAGGAGACACACTCATTCTCACCACTATTAGGGGAAGAACAGAACCAGAAGTTGGCTTTCAGGTTTGTTAATTTCAGATCAAACTCACTGCTGAATGTCTTTGAATTAGCTATAACATTGGTCTTTGGGGTTTTAGTATTGTGACTCCGACAGCCTGAAAATAGAAATCAAAGGTTGAAGATGCCAGGGGAAGTAAGATTGGATTTATGTGCTCAAAGGCAAATGTGTTTTATAGATAAAGCATCTCAGGCTAATAAGATGATTACAGAGTGACTATAGGATTGACACAAATATATTCTCTATTATTCATTGAGTAAGAATGCTTGTGGCTAATTCTGTGAGTCCTTGATCGAGGCTCAAACCCTTTACGACATCACTGTTGCTGTGGAAAAGCAGCTTTGATTTAGTAACTGACCGAGGACATTTGTTTTTTATGTACATGCCACATGGTAGATCTAAGGCTAAGAGCATTCTGCATCCCTATCATGATCCGAATCATAATGCCTTTCTAAACATCTCCAAGTCCCTTCTAAGGACCCCATGTAAAGAGACCCCAGAAGTGGGGTAGCTTCACCCCAGAGCAGGAGGTGGATTCTTCAACAGTGAACAGTATGAGCTGCAGCTACAGAGGATGAGGAAGACCATACCAAGAGGAATGCAGTCGAAAGATTTTCGTCCATGCGATGTGTAGAAAATGCTGCCTTGAACCATGTCTTTTATTCTCAGCCCTGGCTAAAACAGACTGTCTTCCTAACAGCAGCCTTGAACACTTGACTGCTGGGCATCCACAACATGAGAGTGACTCTCTCTGCCTTGGTCAAACATGAAAAAATTGATACTTCTTTATCACAAAAAATATTTATCATGGTTAGTACACATGTTCCTGTTCATAAAATATCTTTTGATTGAAAGCAACAGAAAACTCAGTTTTTACTAAAGAAACAATAGATTATATGTAATAACACAGCTGGGTTCATGGGATGATTAGAGGACTAAGGATAATATAGCATTCCTCCTTAATCCTTCTTTTAAGCCGTCTACAATCTGCTTGGGGACAGCACTGATAGGAGAGTCAGGAACAACATTACGTAGACCAAAAAGTGCCATCACAGTGACAAAGGTCATGGGAACCAAAGGACATGAGGCACATGAGTGAAACTGTCATTCATGAAGGAGCCAAGGTAAGCTCAACCAACAGTAAGGAGGAGGCTCTGATGCTACACAGAGCTATGGAGAGAGAGAGAGAGAGAGAGAGAGAGAGAGAGAGGGAGGGAGGGAGGGAGGGAGGGAGGGAGGGAGGGAGGGAGGGAGGGAGGGAGGGAAGGAGGGAGGGAGGGAGGGAGGGGGCTTGGATAGAGTATTTTGGTTGAGGTTCAATTTAAATTGAAATGTGCCATTTTACAGCTGGTTTAAATCCCAAGTGGGATTTGACTATAACTGCTCTTTGCATCACAAAAGCTTATGGCTTCCTAGGATTTTACAGTGCTTCTACTCCATAAGTTCTTTTATTTCTGGAGCATGTTCAAATTGAAAGAAGAAACAGGAGGAAGGGGAGAAAGTCGAAAAAGGGACAATGACAACAGAAAAGGGGGTGGGAGGAATTCACTGTAAAGTAATAGTGTGTCTGCTATCACAGAGCCATTCATGAAGGAACACACACACACACACACACACACACACACACACACACACAAAACAAGAATAGTGGCCAATGGATAAGAGACAAGAGGTATAACCTGGAATGTTGCAGATGGCTCATAAAGAGAAAAGTTTGCAAACAAAGTGGTCAGAGCTGAATAGCCTAATAAAATGGAACCAAAGCATAGGTTAAATTCCAATTTCCATGAGACTTTATCTACTGTGAGTCGGTAGCTGCTAGTCTTCTAAAGCTCTGGTGCATTACCAGCTCTATAAATCTGTTTCCAGTTCACTTTTGATTCTCCCAGACCAAGTACAGGTTCCACTATACAAAGAACTGGGGAAGGTTAAAAGGCTTAAACTATTGAGGCTGAAACTCAAGAGGTTTAAAGTGAGGTGAGACTGAGAGCCATTTGGGGTCCTGGAGCTAAGGATGGACAGGTCTGTGTGTGCATGGCTCTACGTGTGTGTGTGTGTGTGTGTGTGTGTGTGTGTGTGTGTGCTCTAGCAATTATGGTGGAGTTTGCCCCCTTTAATATCCCTCTGCTCTCCAGAGTGAGGAAAATAATGCATATCCCACTCTGAGTTGTGCTGAGATTCAAATTCAGAGTGTATCTGAAGGTGGCTCAGCGATGGGGCGCTTCTTTAGGCCAAGCCACGCAGGGAATGTGGACAGTGGGAAACAATGCCTGGGCAGTCCAATTCAAATCTTTAGGTCTCTGTTCTAAGAGTTAGTGTGCTCACTTCAAGTTGCTAGACCATTAGTTTTAATGGCCCCATGACTGTTGTAGAAGACTTCATAGGAACCTCTTCAAATGACTGCATTGTGAGATTTATCACCTGCCCCCCAATTATCCAGGCCTTAGTGCAATTATGTGGGATTAATGATGAAACTGGATCCTGACTAGGTTTGCTTAACTCGGGTGAGTTACTCCAGTTACTCACAGTGGCTTAGGGAACACATTAATTTGCTTCAGACTGTAAACCAATGAACAGGATTGCTTCTATTAGCTACCAGCCTGTGTAAGATGATTTTTTGGGCATCCAAGACCTTAGGCACATACTTACACACCACAATTAGAGTTAGATTAGTATTGTGACTTTAGGGACTGTTAGTGTATGCTAAGACTTTTTGCAAAGTGTAGAAATAAAAGCTAGGTGGCATGTTATAATGATGCTTAGTTTTTATCTGACTATGTATATAGTTTGAACCTCAGAACACAGGTGCAAAATACTGACACAGCTATGACCATAGCTAGGAAAAAATAATCTGCATACTCTACAGATATTTAGTGAGTACCTTCTGTGTCTTAGGCACAGGGTTCCACAGTCTCCATGTAAAAATTGCAGTCTATACACCATGACAGTGCGAATGTCAGATAGTAATTATCTTGTTGTACATTTATAGCATTTCCATAACTACACATTACACTAGGTCATATGCTGTTTTTGTTGTTACACACATTAGGATCTTACACATTTCTGAATTCAGAGTTGGCAGGAGTCAGAGGAAAATGTAGCTGCTGCCCTCACATTAGATTCTATCTGAAACTTGTCCGACTTGTTTGAGCCCCAGTCCTTTTGTAAATGGGATGTGTGTTCTTTGGCTGAAAGTATAATGATATAATTTCACTTCCCACACCACAGGCCTTGTCTGGGCTTGTGTACCACTGTCCCATATAAAAGCTTCTTTCTCAATGTCCAACATCAAACAATGGCCAACAAAGTTTCCTAATTATTTTATAGCACTTACTTTTGCCCGGCTTCTCCTTGGCCCGCACAAGGTCCATATTTATAAGCATATACCAAGCGAGGGATAAAGTCAGATGTTATTGCTATGACAAATGCATTCGTAATAACAGAGAGAATTCCAATGCCTTCGAGAATTCCATACCAAATTCCTATTCAAATAGAAATGTGGTATTAGTTTCTTCAGTAAGAATGAAAAACAACAAGGCTAATCCACCTGTGATAATCCTTTTCATCTTTCTAAATGCCTCTGGCAACAAGGAGTTACAATTTGTTCCTTCCAAACAGTTTGGAATTGAAGGAATTTCTGTGGTTCCATTCATGTGCCAATGTACTTACAGCTTACTGGTCAGCGTCAGACATAAGTCAAGCAATTCTGGCCAACAAGTCCTACCTGTTCATGTGCTGTTGGATAAAATCATCCCAGTGTCAAGCCTCTAACAGATTGGAAACTCCTCAGTGGTCCTGACCAGGTCCCTTTCTGTTCACCTTTGTAGACTGTCCCGGATGCACTGGCAAAGCCAATGCCCAACGAATAAACACTTGCTTCATCTGGTGGGTAAGAGGCCACTCTGAACAGAATATCTGCATCTAGTTCGCAGCCACACTCACTGGCTGGTGCCTGCCTTGTTCTCAGTACTGGATGTAGACAACGCCCATCTCAGCAACTGTTGAGAGCATGGCAGTTAACCCAACAGTATCTCTAGCCAAAGACCAAAGCTCGTTTCTGCCTCTAGAGAAATCAGGTTTTGCTTTATGTGAATCAGGAGAACATTGAGGAAAGTGGAGGGGGGCAAATAGAAGGTCTATTTTTAAAAGGGATGAATCAAAATTTTAGATTTTAAAGTCTTACAGTAGAAGTAACCAAGCTAAGAATCTATTTAAGCACCAATTCATAAAACTGGGAAACCTAAACCAATCTAAATAGGCAGATTTGTTTCTTGTATAAATTATTTTTAAAATCAACATGTTTTTTCTAAAGTACATTAATTAATTTAAAGACAGCCCTGGAGAGCCTAGAACTCACTATATAGATCAAGTAGACTTTGATCTCCTAGAAATCCACTTGCCTTTGACCCTCCAGTGCTGGGATCGAAAGTGTGTGCCACCACACCAGGCAGACTTTTAAATTTTACCTACAAGATGTTTCATATCTTCAGAAAAACGTTATCTGAAGTCAACTTACCTATGTCTTTGGCCCTCGAAGCCAAAGGTCTTCTCCATTGTGTAACAAACTTATACGCATCAAGTCGGATTTCAATGATGTTATTCAGTAAGGCCAGAAGTGGTGCTAGGGGGAAGGCTGCCACAAAGATAGTTGTGAATCCGAACTGAAGGACTAGGGAGGAAAAGGAAGATAATGATAATGTCAGTTTTCCATTGCTGTTTCAAAAAGGCAGCAGTTGGAATGTGTCATTGTGTCATCATATTTTTGCCAATCATTAAGAATCACAAACTGAAGGAACCTTTCTTACAAGATGGCCATAAGACTGGACAAAGAGGTATTTTCTGGGCCTGAAAATAATGGAATCTGAGTGGCAAAAATCTGATCTTGGGTCTCAATACTTTCTAAATGTCACTCACTAATTAATGGAACCAGGGCTTCTTGGCATAATGCTTGATTCTAGGTAGCAGTGGAAAAACAGGAGAGGGGACTGGATTGGCTTATGAAGTGAGACAATAAAGAAATACTCAACAAATGATGGGGGTACATCAACAGGACAAATATGTAGGCGCTGCCAACAGCCAAACCTGGAATACTGGCACAACAAAATCATAGCAGCACTGGATCATAACCCAAAGACTGCCAAATCATATCAGCATATCAACATACTAATGAATATAAACTGAAAACACACGAGGAATACCGTGTGGTTCTTCTTCATGCAGAATTTAACTCATAAACATAGAAGAAATGAAGAGAATGGAAAACCATCATTAATTAAACTTTACCCTAAAGTTATGGCCATGGAAGAATGCTAAAATTAGTGGGTGGGATATTGAAAATAGGATATTTGTATGCTTCCAAAGCATCTCTTCACATAGCACTTAAGATATACTAATATGGCACACCCCTGATATGATGGTCTTTTTTCCCTACATTCTTCCTGCTCATGGTCCTCTTGGGTAAAAACTAGATCCCTGCTCATTCTGCCTTCAGAACCATTAGACTCTAAGTTCCATCAATGGCTCATAGATGTCTCCCCCTCTCCTTCTTTTCTACTGACCTCCTTGAGTTTATACTCTGGCTTCTCAACTGGTGCTGTTTCTCCTCACTTTCACCCCTCTTTCTACTGCACTGTTATCAGTCTGCATAACATCTTGGCTCCAGGCCATAGCTCATCATCTACCTACAAGTAATGATTCAGAAGGTTTTCACTGCCTACAGATGAACTCCTCCCTTTCTCCATGGCATTCCAAGACCTTAGTGATCTTCCATGCAGATTTCTAAGATTCAAGTTCAACCATCATCATGTACAAGGGTTTGCAAACACTGGACTTGGGGTATTGTGAGTCAAACATACACTAAATGTCTCTATTGATAAACTGATGAAACTTGATTCTCCTTCTAAGGTTAAGCTCAAATATGCCCTCTCCTGGAGACTTTCGATAGCACTGTCTCATCTGGTAGCTTCCACTGCTGCTGAGCAACAGAGAATGCACTTCATTTGCCTTTAGGGCTTTGTCTCTCTTTTCCTTTATTATACTGGGCCCTGTGAAAGTAAGAATGGGAGCTTCATTATCTTTCTCTTTCTCCCATACACATTGGAGTGATTTGTGTATAGAAGGGCTTTGTTAGGCTCTAAATAATACTGGCTCACTTTGACTGACCTATAATCACAACAATGAAAGTCCTAGAAGACAAAGAAAACCAGCCCCTTAGATAAAAGTAAAATGCATGATAATGACTCTCATAGATATGAGAACACTTCTTTAGTATGAGAAATGTATAAAAAATAACTGACATAATTAGTAACTGTAATGTATTGCACATTTTTGTCTTCCTGTTAGGAGCCAGGATGCCCATGGCAGCATTATATGGTTGGTTTTAGTGAAGTGAAGCAAGGTTAACCCAAACGTTTAGTGATTAGAGAAGAAAATATAAAATTATTGTTACTCGTATATGATGTAGAAATGTCTAAAGAAATCTATGAATTATAATTTATATAAGTTTTCAGAAGATTTACTTGGTGCAAGGTCAACATACAAACCAATAATAACTTCATATACTAGCAACAAAATACAAACAGAAGTAGGGCCATGTGTGCAGTTCAGTGGTAGACTCTGTCCTTAAAATTCATGAGGCTCTGGTTTGAGTCCTCAGAATAAAAGCAACAGACAAAACATCATTCCCCAAACGGAAAAAATTATATAGAAAACAGAAAAATTGTGAAAGCAACATTAGTTGCAATTGTACTAAAATTTATCAAGTTCTAACCTATGCAATACAAATCTTTTACATTAACACTATTGAGAAAAATATATAAAGACAGGGATATATCTCACTCATGGATTGGAAAATATGTAAATTTTGTTCAAATTGTCTCTGTGGTTTAACTAAATTCCAGCCAATACCTCAGCAAAAGCTATTGTTTTAAAAACAGACATTAGGACTGTTGATGTAAAATTAGTTGGAACTAATTTTGAAGAACAAACTTGAAACCTGCTCATCTGAAGACAGCATTAAGGGTAGGAAAACAAGTCCTCAACCATGAAAAGACACTTGACTTGCAGCAACTTTATCTGACATACGATGGCCTGAATATGAGATGTAGCCGCACATCTGTGATTGAACATGTGGTACTATTTGGGGGGACCGAGACACCTTTAGGCTAGTCATTCTCAACCTTTCTAATGCAGTGACCCTTTAATACAGTTCTTCATGTTGTTTATACAGTTGTTTAATACAGTTCTTCATGTTGTGACGACCAACCATAGAATTATTTTCTTGGTACTTCATAGCTGAAATTTTGCTACTATTATGAGTTATACTGTGAATATCTGACATGCAGGATATCTGATATATGACCCCTATGGGGGTCATGACCCACAGGTTGAGAACCGCTGTAAAACAGTGGAATCTCACTGGAGGACGTGGGTTATCAGGGGTATGATTAATATTTAGAGCGTGACTCTGTCTCCAGCATACTCTGCTTCCTGTTTTAATGAGATGTAGGCTGACATAGGCTTCTATATCCATGAAGCTGTCCACCACAGTATCTTCTCTGGGATGATGGACTGTGTCCTCATAGGAACTAAAATAAGCTGCTTCTTCACTGAGTTATTTCTTGATAGACATTTCTTCACAGTAATGGGAAAATCAATTAATACAGGACTCATATCTACAATATGTAAATAGCTTCTATAAAGCACCAAGAAAAGAACAACCCCTGCTCCCAGCAAATCATTGATCTTGATAGAGGTTTAAAGAGAATATCCAAATGGTCATAATCATATGGAAGATATTTAGTGTCATTAGTTGCCATAACTTTCAGATTAAAACCACAATGAGAGACTACCATATACCAACCAGAACATTAAAATAAAAGCTTAAAAATTGAGAGAGCACATGGATGTATAGAGTGGCACAAACCTCTCCACCTGTCCTTAGAACAGGATATATTTGTGTGTAAGGGAGTGGGTGTGTGATGTTTCTAGGAAATGTCACTTATAAAAATTATTGGGTGAGTTTGGACTGTGGACAATGGTTTGCCAGCCTCTTGCCTGTATAGACATGGCTGCTTTTGTGTATATATCTCTGAAAATTCATCTGTAGACTTGAGATTTAAATACTTTTTATTACTTTATATTGTAATCTAGTGAGTTATAGTATTTAATAACAATACATTCAGGAAAAATCAAAACAAAAATAAAAGGAAGAAGAAAGAATTCCTGTGTCTGTGTGTGCTGCACCTCGTATTGTTTCAAGCTGAGTGGTACCACAGGAGCTGTAGCATGCTATCCACATAAATGCTGCTTTTCAGGGGCATTATTGCTCATTTCCTTCTTTATGGGGGAGAGTCCATTAAGAGACTCAAAATTGGTGATTTCTCTTAATGAATTGCCTTTATTAAGTTTTATTATTGATGCCCGCATTGATTTCTTTTCCAAGTTATATCATTCTGCCATCCTCTAATTGAAACTCTAAAAACATCAATAGATACTTAGGGCAGAAGCAATCTAAGAAACATTAAGCATCAATTCTGCTGCTCCTTTAATTTTCAGATTATTCCACTTAGTGTCGCTTCCTTCAGAAGTAATTCACCTTGCCCAGCTCTACTCTCATTTCATCTCTAGGTTGTAGAGCTTAACCAGTAGATTTTCAAAAGAAGAGAGAGAAAAATATCTATACATACAGTGTATCTGACAAGGGATCATTATTGTTATTTCCTCTCTAGATACATATTGAGATTAACTTGGCTTTGATTCTAAAGAAATCTGATTTTCTTAGCTGAGTGTAGCCTGGGTTAAACATTCCTCACTTCCTGCCACTTTCCTCCTACAACAGAAATGGCTGCCATTATACTTCCCATGATTCATGCTACAGTAACTGGGACACTTCCTGAACTTAACACTTCCTGTCTCTGGCTCTTCCCCACTGCCTATGCACCCTTGAAAGCTGAGCACTGTGTCATAATCCCTTTCTGTGTCTCTGGTGCCAACTGTAGTTGTTCCGTTGGCATTGAGTAAAGCTTAACAGATGTCAGCTGGATATGTGAGTCAATCCCTTCGAGTAACGAGTCTTTCTGTTTTTGATGCCCTGAATTCTCCAACATTTTTTCTTGGTTATTTAGTTCCATAATAAGGCAGTGTAAGGGCAGTAGGTCATAGTAGGAGGTCTTTGGGTTGCAGGGTAGAGTCTTCATGAATGTCACAACTGGGTTAGTGTGTGTGTGTGTGTGTGTGTGTGTGTGTGTGAGAGAGAGAGAGAGAGAGAGAGAGAGAGAGAGAGGAGAGAGATTGAACTCAGAATTTAGAATTTAGAACATGCTAAGAAATCTCTCTACTCATAGGCTACAACTTGAGTACCTTCTTAAGGTTCAAGAAGCAAGATACCATATCATGAAGGGTTTGGAATGACTGTCTTCTGAACTTTGTTCATTTGTGATGCTGGGGAATCTCACCCAGAGCCTTGTACATACTAGATAAGCACTCTACAACTCCAAACCTGGCTTTGAATATCTTAAGATTTCATTTTCCCTTATACTTGCTGCTTAGAATGCCCTCACTCCAGAATTCCCTTACATGAATGAACAGATGATAACAGATGTACATTTAATTGAGTGTAGCTAAAGAGTAGAGGCTTGCATTTATAATTGAGAGGCAAAACAGATCTCCATACTCATTTCCAGGTATTCATCAAAGAGTCCATAGGCATTCATCGGCTGAAGGTTGTAATCCTTTTCCCATTGTGGGAAATTTATTTTCCTTTCAGTCCCATGCTCTTGTCGAACTTTTCTTCTGGTCCACCAATTCTGGATTAACCTGGGTGACAAGATCAGTTTCTTATCAAAATATACACAATTGTTCATAAGATTTAAGTAATGAGAAAGAAGAGAGCTAACAATTTGGAACTAGTTAAAAACCAGCTTCACACAGGCAGGAAGCTATGTCTGAAATTAAAAAAAACTTCTGAATACCTGAAGCATTTCTATTTTCAAGTAGACAGAATGTGTGACTAATTTATTTAATCAACCACAAATGTTTAGAAATAGATGGATAGGGGGCTGAGAGTACCTTGAGTTGACTTGGTACCAAGGCAGCACCTGCATATTCAATGGTTAGAAGGTCTATCTCACATGGCTTAGGTCTGTACCCATACCTAATAGTGGTCCTGTCACATGGGTTATTATGACCAGCATATTCTGATGTCAGTGACCTAGAACATCTGAAATCACAATCCTCTTTCTTTCCTGGCATTCAGGTTCTTATAATTCCTTATGAGAAGGCTCAGCTGCTTTAGACTCAAGCTTGGCATGGTCTCTAACTCCCATGGGATGCATCTCACTCTGATGCTTGAGGCTGAGCTGTTAGCCCTCTTCAGCATGCTGGAATCCTTTGTATAATATGAAAAGAGATGAAGGAAATGCCACAGAGGAGGCAAGCCTGTAGGTTGGCATGTTCCAGGAAAAAATGACATGGTTTTAGTATTTCCAGGAATCTAAATGCTGAAACAAAAGCACATCAAGGAAGGAAAAAAGAGGGGTGGCTATCAGACATGCTGCTTACCTCACAGCTCTGTAGAATATCCTGAGTCATCCTTGGATATTTCTATTAAATTCTATTTAATATTTCATAAGCTAAAACATTGTACTTCCAGCTTTGTGTTTATTTTTAAAAGTCTTATAGGGAATATTGGATACTGGAGCAAGATGTCAAAACTTGAATCTAAGAATAGAAAATTGTTGGCTTTGCCTCTGACAGGGCCCTTGAGAAGACTTTCCTCATTCAGCAAGTCCTGGGTGCTTGTGCTAGGTGAGTGGTTCTACCTGAGTCCTGGAGACCTGTGTCCCTCCAGAATCACTGAGCTGATGTGGAAAGCCAATGGTGTGGAAAACCATCAGACACAGAAAGGTTGATGCTCTGTGTCCTTAAAGCCAAGCTAAGCATAGCTGTCACAGCAAAGTTCAAGGTTGTCTTTACGGAGATGACACAAACTTGTGTCCACTGTCATCAACAGGAAAATCTTACCACTGGGTGACAATGTTTCTATGGGCGAAAACACGCTTTTTTGCATCTCTCACATTTTCTCATTTTCCAAGTTCCATTTTCCTGTAGTCTGAATTTACACTACTTTTCTTTCTTTGTTTTAAATTAACATTCTGATTTATCATGTGAATAGGGGAGTAAAGATCTTATGAGTTGACAAATAGCTAAGGATCTGCAATACTGGAACCCAGAGAGTCAAAGACATCATTGAAGCATGCTACATTCACACAACCAGAGTACACACATGCACAGAGGCCTCAAAGAATGTTAAGTCAGTTTTATTTAAGGGTGACCACTGATAGGTCGACCAAACTTCTCTCCACACCCAAGAGTATTTGGGTAGCATGATAGACTTAGAAGAAGAAGAAGAAGAAGAAGAAGAAGAAGAAGAAGAAGAAGAAGAAGAAGAAGAAGAAGAAGAAGAAGAAGAAGAAGAAGAAGAAGAGGAGGAGACACATGATTTGTTTGGATGGGTAGGGAGGTTGGGATGGATCTGGGAGGGTTTGGGAGAGGAGGGTGTAATGATTAAAATACATTATATGATGTTCTCAAAAATTGATAAAATTAAAAAAAGAATATTTAATTTGTATGAGTTGGGAAAAACCTAAAAGAGCCAATGTTAATTATTTTTAGTTAAAAGTTTATTGTTGTTGTTTGTGTATGTGTGTGTGATGTGTGTGGACTGTGTGTCATGAATACATGCAGAGGTCAGAGGGCAATTTTGGGTCAGTTGTTTCCTTTCATCTTCATGTGGGTTCCAAGAAGAGGCAATTCATGCTGTCGGGCTTGGGTGGCAAAAGGCTTTACTGCTGAGCCATCTCACTGGTCTCCAGTGTTTAGTGTTTCTATGACTACATTTGAATCTGCATTTGACATACAGGTTTAACTGTTGAGTCCCTAATGCTTACACTCAGAAATGCCAACCATCAGCCATGCTGACTCTCTGTGAGACAGCTAAGGTACTCACGGGTAGCCAAGTTCCATGAAATTATTCCAGGTCTGCTTTAGCACCATTATAATACCCATCTGCATGCAGAGATCAATAAGGCATCCGCTGGGGTGGCACTGCGAGGCAAGCAAACAGAGATACAGCAGTCAACTAAGAGAAGAGCGGCAGGCTTCTACTCTGCACAAAGTTGCCTTAAGGGTTTTTAGTAGAAGTTGTAGAAAACAAGGAACAAGGGAAGAGTACTGACCTCTTCTAGCCTCCACCTGTTAATCAATCTCAAGTAGGCACCTGGGTGTCCTGTGAATCTTCAACACAGAAGCAAGCTGTTAGCAATCTGCAGGTGTAGGCTTTCGGTGAATATTGCATTTAAGTTAGTGTATTCTCTAAAGTCAGTGATAGGAGCCCTTACAGAGCGCGTCTGCAGGAGTGAGGAAACCTCCACAGCTGTCAGTACTTGAGCTTCTGAAATTCTCCCAGGGACATTTCCCCTCTGGCCTTCCTGCCCAGATGCTGAGGGGACTGGCTCGCTCTTGCTGTTTCCTGTGGTATTGAACATTCCTGCTCAATACAGAGTGCCCTGGTCTGTGTAAGCTGCAGCCATGTTCCTGCATCTACCCATATTTGATCTGAATACCAGCAGTGTCATTTTTTGTTACAGTCATAGTACTTGACTAGAGTTTCATGCTGCTGGCATAACTAAACAACACAAGAGAGGCCACTGTATCCATCCTACCAAATGGGACTCACGGCCTTGCCCTGTCCCATGGCCTCACATAGGATGGGTAGGGACAATACACACATCAATACCACATAACGGGGATCCCTCCCAAGTTTTCATCCCTGCTGGGTTTCTCGTTACCTAGAAAGCTCTGGTTCCCATTTCTACCCTCTTTCCTGTTGGGATATCCTGTAAGCCAGGGACTTGGGCCACACTCCGGGTTGCATCTCCTTATATCACCTACTAACTTAGCTGTGACATCCACAGGATTGAGTCAGGTGACATGGAAGTCACAAGCTTTCAATCCATTGTTTGCACACATAAACTATTTGCCGCTATTTATCTGTACAACAAAAGAGTCCCGGGCACTTTTGATTAGAGACTATTTCCTAGGAAGTGAGGTGGTTTGGCAGTTTGGGGAGGGAAAGGAGGTGGCTGGTCTTCTCTTCCTACACTTTTGCATTGATTACCCTACAGAGCCCTGACCAGTGGGCTCTGAGTGACCCATTCCACCAGGGCTGGGGGCTCACAGAGAGGTGCTTCTTACCTTCCGAGGAAGAACGCGATGTAAAACGTGGAGCTGTTCAGATTGACAAACTGAAAAAGAAACATTTTCAGGGTAAAGCTGTTCTCCCACTCGGATTCTGTGCGGGGCTGTTCTGTGGGCAAAAGGAAGCAGGGTTTGAGAGACTGAACATGACCTCCCTCCTACCTCCTGCATGCATAGCTTCAGACCCTCACCAAGCTCCTAAGGGTTCTTCGTCTCAGCTCCTAGATCTCATGTCTCCTAGGCTTTTACCTTCATTTACTATTTCTTTCATTCTCATAGATAAAAGTGGAAGGATGGCCTCACCTCTAGAGCTTTCCCCATATATGACTACCTGTGGCACATGTCTGTGACCTCAGTCACGGCCAACTTGAAGCTCATTGTATTTTGACTTCCATAATGCAAATACCCTTTGGTATAAACCAAAATATAGAGTTAGTTACTCGAGAGGTCAAGCCTACAACTTGTCTGATCCACTTATCTTTCCTGAGGAGCTGACTTCTAAGCTCAAGCAAAGTCAAAGGAAATGTATTTAAGGCAGTAACATTTTCTCTGTTACCGCATCCCCCAAGCTTCTGTTTGGACGTTTAACATTTCACACCATCACTTCCTTTTCCATGACTTGAATTTAAAGCTTCCTTGGAGCATAACTGAGATGGGAAGAGGGGAGAAAGGACCTGAGATTTGAAATGATTGAAACATCAGTATTAGAGCCAGGGTGTGCTGCTCTGGGAGCTAGGAACACTGAACACTTCTCAATGGGTTTCATGTCACTGGGTTCTCATGTGTCTCAAACTATGGTTTACCCCTGGACACAGTCTGTCAACAGGCATTTCCCTCTACCATGGTTAGTGTCTTCCTTTCTTAGTAAAGGGTTAGTGGTGATGGAAGATGCCAGTGACATTAAAGGAGATGGATACTCCATCCATCTCTGTGTAGGACATACCAATTAAAAAAATGGGTTCAGGGGTACAATGGCTATTCTACAAAAACCGCTTTGGAATGTCTCCCTTTTGGACAAGCTACATACTGGGATATATTAAAGCAAGCTATATATTAAACCTGTGGGAGCATGCGATTTTCTCATTGGCTATAGAATAGCCAATATCTCACTAATAAAATTGAAGCAACATCTACACCTTGAAAATGTAGCAATGTGCAGCTTATAGCTGGCTATCAGAGAAACATTCTTGGAGACAATTTGTCTACATGAATGTATCTTCACAAACATCCATCATCATTGTCCTAATGTAAAGGGTTACTAGTGTTCAAAACTTGACACTTTTGAAGTTTTTCATGTTTTTCCTAGCATTTCTCAAACTCTTAAGCCATTCTTCTGCTCCAGCCTCCTGACCTTCTGGGATTAGTGAGTATACCATTGTGTCTTGTGGAATCCACCTATAATGCTAAGGTGTAGGTATAGCTAGTGAACACATTTGAAATGATCCAGGATACTTTCTATATATGTGTTCATGCAATACTATTTTCTGTGTGTACAGAAGGGAAAATACCTACCTTGAATTTCAATTACTTATGGCACATACGGGATATGACAGGTTTGAAAACATCAGATCACTAGACACATTTAAATCATTCTGCTGAAGGGAAAGACTGAAGTGTTGCATGCAATTCTCAGTAAAGAAGGTATTTTTGTCTTTTTAAAGTATTATATTTTTTTATTAACTGAGAATTTAATATATGCATTTAATGTATTTGGATCATATTCATCCCTACTTTCTCCCTCAAGCTTCCCCAGATCTACCCCTTATTCTATTTCAATTTCATAGTCTCATTTGTTAAAAATAGTCCACTGAGGCCAGTTGTGTTGGTTATAAACTCATGGGTGTGGCCTACCAGGAGCCACAGTAGGGCGTTCATTTCCTGCCTCTGAGATAGGAAGCTTTACTCTAGATCCCAGACTGCACAACACAACAGGCTTGTACTCACCTAGATTAGTCAGAAGGAGCGCGACTTTTTCATAGAGCTGTAAAATAAATTCCACACCTTTAACCAGTGAACTCTAGGCGTTCTAAAGTCTATAATTACAGAAAGAAGATAGGCAATCAAGTTGTGAGTGAAACTTTTTTTCTTTATGTTTCAAATAGTAGAAACATCGTGAGCAACTGTACACTTTCAAGGATAATCAGAAATGTGCAAAGTCTTCCTTTATGAGTTTAAAAATCTTGCTTCTTGGCCAGGCTGGACCGACAGCCACCAAAACAATACAGAGAAACTCTGTCTCATAAAAAATCTTGCTTCTTGTTTTGGAGTGAATAATTCTGTGGCAATGAGACTAGCAGCCACTAATTACCAGTTTCTTAAGTGAGGCTAGACAGTCATTGTGAGTGTTGACAACTGAGGGAAAAAATCCAGCTTTGGTTTATAAGGGAAGGGTCTATCATCTTACTGTCATGGAATGCTGCAGACTCCACATTACAGCACTCATAAGTGCCAGAGTGAACAAGAATCCTTGACACATCCAGCTATCTGGTTGACAGAGTGTCCTCAGAGAGAATGGAGTGTGTGTGTGTGTGTGTGTGTGTGTGTGTGTGTGTGTGTATGCACATATGACATTAAAGTCTTTCCTAATTTCTGAATTCTCTTTCTCAAGATTCCTGTTTACTATGGAGCCAGGCCAAATACTTAGATCATATAACTCCAAACATTCAGCAATGGCCACTGCTCTATTAAGGCACATGGTTTTTCTATACAAAAATATGATTACTAAGGCCATGTTATTAACTTTTTGTACAGAAACCCCAGACATGAGTTCAATGTTAAAAGAGATTGGTACAGTTACAACAGGAAATTATGTGGTGTAGGTTAGTCATATTTCCTCTGACTATAAAATGAAATCTCTGTAAACAAGAGATTAGAATAGATACTCTAGTAAAACTTGCATTAGTGTAAAAAACATGCTGTCATTAACATTTCTTAATTACATAATTGTCAAAGAATATTAAATTTGTTGGTAAAATACCTTCCTGAAAAGTATAATTTTGGTTCTTAGTTTATTCTTTATCTTTTTCACATAATACACCCTTGTTAATTTGTGGCACTATCTCAAAGGTTTTTTGAGCTGGTCACCTGGGTATTGAACACTGGGAAAACTGGCATTTAAAAATAGCATAGACATGAAGACGTGATTTGTATTAACTTTCCGAAATACAGTATAGAGAAACAATAGTAGGGTACATGGCATCAATGACCATACATGCAGAGAGAAAGGGGGGGAGTCAGAGACACAGAAAGAGAGCCAGACAGAGAGGGAAGAAGGGAGGAGGGAAGAAATGATGGAGGGAGAGAGAATAGAAAAGCAGACTTTGGCTATATATCAGGAAAAGGTATCTATAGCCAGAGGTTCATAGTAAGGGACCCGTAGGTGAGTGTTTGTGTAAAACTGCTGATTTCTTATTAGGCCATTGAAACATTAAAATGACGGATGGTTTATTCTGATAAGGTCAGCAGAAAAAAATTAGTTTCCAAACTTAATGAAACAAATTATTTTCCCCTCTTTTTTTTGGTAAAATAAGATGGTTTTTAATTTAAATAAAAGTCAATTTATAAAACAGGAAAAGCCCTAACACCACAGATACACAAGACAACCCCAAAAACAACAATAACAACAACAAAAACCCATCAGGCAATTGCCACAAAATCCACACAGAGGACCTTGTTCAAACCCATTCAGGCATCGTGCTTACTGCTGCAGGTTCTGTTAGTCCATGTCAGCCCTGCTTAGATGATTTGTGGGTTGTGTTCTCCTAGTGTCCTCCATCATCTCTGACTGCTACCATCTTTTTGCCCCCACTTCTGTGGGATTCCCAGAGCCCCGATGGGAGGTACCAACTGTACACCTTTGATGAGACTCTCTGTACACATATCTTACTGTGGGTTTCTCTATCATCTCACATCTGCTGGCAAAGGACACCTTTCTGAGGACAACTGCCCAAGGCACTGACCATATTTGTTTTTCTGTGTCTGGGTTATCTCATCCAGGATTATTTTTTTTTCAGTTCTCTCCATTTGCCTGCAAATTTCATGATGACATTTATTTTAACAGCTGAATAATACTTTTTAAAATATATTTTTATTTTTAAAATTAAATTTAAATTAGAAACAAAGTTGCTTCACATGTCAATTCCAGGTCCCTCTCCATTTCCTTCCCCTCCTCCAGTGCCCTCCACCAACCCCCCCCCAATATCCCCTCATTTCCCTAGGGAGGGTGAGGCTCTCCATGGGGGTGTCCATAGTCTGTCATTTCATCCAGGGCAGGGTCTAGACCCTCCCCCAAGAGTTCCGGGTGAGAGTGCACCTCACATTGTTCTATGGGAGTCCGAAGTCGATTTGTATACCCGGGATAAATACTGATCTACTACCCAAGGCTCAATAGATTACCTAGGCCTCCTCACTGACACCACATTCAGGGGGTCTTGATCAGTCCCATGCTGGATTCCCAGGCATCAGTCTGGGATTCAAGAGCTAACCCTTGTCAGGTCAGCTGTTTATGGGGGTTAAACCAGCCCAGTCTTAATTTCTTTGGTCATCAGTCCTCCCTCTCTGTCACTGGATTTCTTAAGTTCAGCTCAGTGCTTAGACGTGGGAGTCTGCCCCTGCTTCCATCAGCCACTGAATGAAGGTTCTGTTTCCCAGACTCTCTGGCCATGGGCTTGTAGGCTGGCACTCCCCAGATTGATGTCTAAAATCAATATATGAGAGACTACATGCCAAGTTTCTCTTTTTGTGACTAGGTTACCTCACTCAGGATGGTTTCTTCTAGTGCCATCCATTTGCCTGCAAATTTCAAGATTCCATTGATTTTTTCTGCTGAATAGTACTCCATTGTGTAAATGTACCACATTTTCTCTATCCACTCTTCAGTTGAGGGGCATCTAGGTTGCTTCTAAGTTCTGGCTATTACAAAAAATGCTGCTATGAACATAGTGGAACACACATCCTTGTTGTATGAATGAACATCTTTTGGATATATGCCTAAGAGTGGAGTTTCTGAGTCTTGCGGGAGGTTTATTCCCATTTTTCTGAGGAAACTCCATACTGATTTCCAAAGGGGCTGTACAAGTTGACACTCCCACCATCAGTGGAGGAATTTTCCCCTTTCACTACACAGTCTCCAGCATAGATTGTCATGGCGTTTTTGATTTTAGCCATTCTGACAGGAGTGAGATGGTATCTCAGAGTTGTTTTGATTTGATGGCTAAGGATGTTGAGCACTTTCTCAAGTGCCTCTCAGCCATTTTAGACTCCTCTATTGAAAATTCTCTATTTAGTTCTATAGCCCACTTTTTATTTGGATCCTTTGGTGTTTTGGAGACTTGCTTCTTGAGTTCTTTGTAAATTTTGGAGATCAGCCCTCTGTCAGATGTGGGGTTAGTGAATATTTTTTCCCATTCTGTAGGATGCCTTTTTGTCTTGCTGACTCTCTTTTGCCTTACAGAAGCTTCTCAGTTTCAAAAGGTCCCATTTATTAATTGTTGATCTCACTGTCTGTGCTACTGGTATTATGTTCAGGAAGCTGTCTCCTGTACCAATTCGTTCAAGGTACCACTCACTTTCTCTTCTATGAGGTTCAGTGTGGCTGGATTCATGTTGAGGTCTTATCCATTTGGACTTAAGTTTTGTGCATGGCGATAGACATGGATAGATCTGCATTCTTCTACATGCCAGCATCCAGTTATGCAGCACCATTTGTTGAAGATGCCTTCTTTTTTCCATTGTATATATTTAGTTTCTTTGTTAAAGATCATATGTTCATACATGTGTGGGTTAATATCAGGGTTTTCAATTCGATTCCATTGGTCTACCTGTCTGTTTTTGTGCCAATACCAAGCTGTCTTCAGGACTATAGCTCTATAATGGAGCTTGAAGTCAGGGATGGTGATACCTCTGGATGTTGCCTTGTTGAACAGGGTTGTTTTGGCTATCCTGGGTCTTTTGTTTTTCCATACAAAATTGATTATTGTTCTTTCATGGTCTGTGAAGTATTGTGTTGGTATTTTAATGGGGGTTGCATTGAATCTGTAGATTGCTTTTGGCAGGATTGCCATTTTTACTACATTGATCCTACCTATCCAGGGACATGGGAGATCTTTGCATTTTCTGAGGGCTTCTTTAGTTTCTTTCTTTAAAGACTCAAAGTTTTTTATGATACAGGTCTTTCACTTGTTTGGTTAGCATTACCCAAGGTATTTTATGTTGTTTGTGGAAATTGTAAAGGGTGATGTTTCTCTGATTTCTTTCTCAGCCCTTTTATCATCTGTATATAGTAGGGCTACTGATTTTCTTGAGTTGGTCTTGTAGCCTGCCACTTTGCTGAAGGTGTTAATCAGCTGTAAGAGTTCCCTGATAGAGTTCTTTGGGTCATTTATGTAAACTACCATATCATCTGCAAATAGTGAAAGTTTGAGCTCTTCCTTTCTAATTTGTATCCCCTTGATCTCCTTTTGTTGTTGTATGGCTCTGGCTAGAACTTCAAGTACAGTATTGAAAAGGTATGGAGAGAGTGGACAGCCTTACCTTGTTCCTGATTTTAGTGGAATTGCGTTGAGTTTCTGTCCATTTAGTTTGATGTTGGCTGTTGGTTTGCTGTATATAGTTTTTATTATGTTTAGGTATATTCCTGTTATCCCAGATCTCTCCAAGACCTTTATCATGAAGGGGTGTTGGATTTTGTCAAAGGCTTTTTCAGCATCTAGTGAGATGATCATGTGATTTTTGTTTCTCAGCTTGTGTATATGGTGGATTACATTGATGGATTTTCGTATGTTGAACCATCCCTGCATCCCTCGGATGAAACCTACTTGATCGTGGTGAATGATTGTTTTGATGTGTTCTTGGATCCGATTTGCCAGTATTTTATTGAGTATTTTTGCATCAATGTTCATGAGGGATATTGGTCTGAAGTTCTCTTTCATAGTTGTGTCTTTGTGTGGCTTGGGGATCAAGGTTATTGAAGCCTTGTAGAAA